AAAAAAAAAAGAGAGAGAATTCTATGTTTTTCTAATATATTTTATTGGGTAGAAATTGTGATTTCTTAAATCCTTCGGCTGCTGAATTGAAAACCTGCATTAAAGCACATTAAAACAAAAACTGATACTATCAAATTAAATTGAAGAAGGTTATTTGAGTGGTGTTGGCTTGTGAATTCCAAACAGAGAAATTGTGTATGTGTTAAGGTGCAGTTACAGTTAACATTGTTCAGGCACATTTTTGCAGCTGAAATGCAGTCATTTCAATAGGAATCTGCATAGTTGGGAATTCAGATTTCACAATGGTTTCAAATTGGTCACACAGATTCGCCATATTGACCAACAGAAATCTTGTTTAAAATGGTTTAAAAATGACTTGTGTGAGCTGTGCTTCATACAAAGCTACATTATTGATGATGGACCATTTTGTTTGCAAAATTTTGCCAAACCTTTGCTAATATGGCTGCACCTTTAAATACATGTTTGAGCATGTTTGTGTGGTTCATTTCTTTTTTCTTTGTTTGTTTGTTTTCAGGCATCTTGCCAGTTTTACTTGAAAGTCAATCAAATGAACATCATATGCATCTCCTCAAAGCACCAACACCCCCCCAGCTGGCAAGTCATTGATCTCTCTAAGCTTGCACAATGATGTGTCTAATGCACTAAATCATTATCAATTAACCTTTGTTAATCTACTTATCTTTCACTATCTTTCAGTACAACTATCCAATCAGTCAGAGATCAGATCATAAAGATGTGGAGGTGTGTTGACCTTATTTATAGTCTGTGTGAACACGTACATCACATGCAGAACTGCAGTGTGTTTTTAAGATGGTGTGTTTAACGGTTCGTGTTAATTGTATTGCTCTCTTTCAGATCTCGCAGGGAGGGTTCAGTCAGTTCAGCCTCTGGTAAGTATCACACACACTCTTTCTCTTTGTTTGTTTGTATAGATTGCATATACACACACCTCTTGCATTGAATGCCTGTAATTTGGATTCTCAATACCATTTATAAAGCGAAGACACATTCCGCTTCACAGAAATGATAAACACCTGCGTTATGTACCTAATTTACCAGGGGTCTCACTCTCATCTCTATTGGACGTGTGGCACAATGACATTATAATAAATATTCTGAATGATGCAACGGAGAAAATAACCATGTCTGCAACATATTGTCCAAGTGCGGCGACACCAACTCACTGGCACCGAGAGAGGCTTCACTGGAGGGTAAAGCTGCTTCCTTGGTAACTTAAAGGCACCAGCTGTGGGCCAGAAAATTATCATTGCGTATGGGTTTGTGTGTGTGTGTGTTTTCCAGGGACAGGAGCAGTTCATTGTCCC